TTGCCTCCTTTGCCTAGTTTCTGAAAGTGCTAATGCTAATGCTAAACTTTGTTTATTTATCAGCTCTATCGCAGGGTTATTGGGATCTAGCAATAGCTGAGCTCCTTTTCAAGTGACTTCAACCTATTATTCCTATTAATCCTTTTGTCTTGATGTCAAAGTTGACATCCTTACCTGAAGTAAATATTTGTGTATTTTTGATCCATCAAAATGCATAAAACACATATTTTTATACTACTGTGTATGTAGCCTATATCTATTTTCTGTAAAATTAACATGTTTATTCTATATCACTCTAGACCTTCAGTAGATATTGCTTTTCAAAAATATATATTTTTGATGGAAAAGTTGTAGCTATGACCTTTTTATTGGATTTAATTTGATTTTACTGTATATAATAAACCAACACAAAGTGATATTTTCTATAGCTTAAAGTGTATTAGTGCTTTAGTAGAAAAGTTAAATAAAACTGATCATCTGAGATTGATTGTGGTCCATCAGAAGTGCTTTTTCACCCAATCTGACTGAAGCATGTAAGCAGAATTTGAGGAACAATGGACAAAAGTACAACCATAGGTGAGGTGAAAGATTTCTGTGCCACAAGTTTCCTCTGATTGGCTAAAGAAAATGCCAGTTTTTAGTGTTGAATCTTAATAAAAACAAGTTATATACCCCTTTGTGTCCTTCCAATCACAATATAAAACAATTCATGTGACAAATATTACAATTTCTGGTTCTAGGGAATTCTTTTTCCAGGTACTGTGTAGTGCTTTTTTTTTTCTTTAATGAAATGCTGAATGCTGACCAGAATTTCCTGAAGTTCCTCCTCCTCGCACTCATCCGGTTCCTTCCCCCATCTCTCTCTGGTGTTCTGCAGAAACATACATCATAAACATTCACCTTGGATGAAAGCGTACAGCATCAATCAGCTCACTCCTGATCTAAGGTCAAAACAGGTGATCTCCCTTAGCTTTTGTTCTCTTCCTGTCCTCTGACAGATCACCTCATAGAAAACCTGACAGCTTATTCCGGCTTATAGATGATGTTTGCCTCCATTTCGTATCACCTCTATCAAAAAGCAGCTTCCAAACTGACTTGGTTGGTTCGATTTTCTGAGAAGCATCTAATCTTATTCTACATGTTTTCCAGCTTTTTCTAGATCTAAAAAGAACACTTTATTGTTAATCAAGGAGTAATTTTACAAAATATTTTCACTAAATAAACCCTTTCATTTATTACACAGCATTACAATCAGATAATTCCAGTAGTATTTTAAATAAAAATGTCTATTTTTGATGTGTTCTCTATCAATATCAGCCCTGCTGGATTTGATAATGAACATCAGGCCTCTTTTACCATAATTTATTTACTAACCAGTACGTTCTGGATTTCATCCTTGCGACACTTGACATGGTACAGCACCATGTCCTGGAAGATGTCCTTCCTGTTCTCCAGCTTGTTCATCTTGTCGTATGTGTCAGTGTTCAGCACGGACCAGCCCAGGAACTGGGTCAGAGACTGGATCCAAGTTTGACAGAGAAATAGGGAGTAAGATACACCATATACTGTAAGTTCACTTATTAAACAGAATAATAAATCTTCCAATAGTTTTAGATAGATAGACAGACAGACAGACAGACAGACAGACAGACAGACAGA